GTTCTAAGCTAAGTAGAAAACAAATAATTCAAATTCAAAATTAACTAGAAAAATAATTAAAACAAGAAGACAGTAACTTCATGCTTTAATCTGGTCCATAAACTTTTAGGATAATTTTTCTGCATCAATCTCCCTCACTTAAAAAACACTCGTTCTCAAATTGAGTTCAATATCTGAAAAGTACTCGTAAAGATCAATAACATTGAAGGTCTTTAACATGCCTCTACTATCCAGAAGATCAATAACATAAGCATTATCATTGATTTTCTTCAATACCTTGTATAGATCATGCTTTTTTATCTTTAGTTTGTTATAGGTGCCTACTAAAAACCTCTATTTGCACAAGAAAACCATGACCATGTCTCCTTCTTGAAACAATTTAACTTGTTTATACTTCTCTGCTGCGTACTTATTTCTGGTAGCTGATTCTTCTAGTTTCCTCCTCATCTCTTGATGCACAACTTGCATCTATTCAGCCAAATTCTCTATTGACTTGCTAAACTCAACAGCTTTAGATAGTGCATGTAGATCGAATACATGATTTGGAGGTTTCACGTACACGCTTAAATGATGTCTTGCCAATAGCACTATGTTTGGAACTGTTGTAAGTAAATTGTACCACAAATGCAACATCCCATTGTTTAGGCTTGTCTCCACAAATGCTATGAATTAGATTGCTCAAAGTTCTGTATAGAGACTTTGTTTGGCTATCAATTTGTGGATGAACAATACTACTAAACTTCGAGGGTGTTTAAAACAGTGGTAGTAGTTATTTTTTAAAGTGTTGCTTGAAAATATATCAAAATAATGTTTTTTTCTTTTTAAAAATTCATTTTTGACATCACCACATCAAAAAAATTCAAAAACACAAAAATAAAATAATTTGAAGAAAAAAATAGAAACAATTAAAACTCCGGTTAAAACGCAAGGCTAATAGTTTTATTTGAATTACATCAAGTCACTAAAGTTTTGAGTTGATCTAAAATTTTAAGTTAACCTAGTTGGTGGCTCTAATTTGATCAGGCTAATTACATGCTTATATTTTTCTTATTTAAAAGCAATCCAAGGATCCAGATACTGAATTAACCTATCATACTAGATAAAGTTTTGTAATTATGTGCTGGGGTAGACCATGAATATTAGAAAGTATTTGTTTGAACTGATGATTATAAGCTGCATCTTTATATATTTGGTGTTGGTGACTGTGCTTTTGAAGCATACCTAAAGCACTTTTTTTTGTTATGTATTCAGGTTGGTTCCCTTGATTGTACGGTAACTGAGTAAAAATCATTGGCGAAGCTGTTAAAAACACTAATCTGGCTAGGATTGTTGGCTATTGTTTGGCCTTGTGGGGTTTTGAAGAGTTTTCATGCTTAGAAACAAGGAGTTATTAAAGGATTCAATATACTCATATGTTTGGATTGAAAATATATATCCAATCATTTTAATATTCTTTTCTCTTTAATAAAAAAATGATTTTTTATAAAAAAACTCAACACTTACAAAAATAATTTCTTTTGACAAGATTTAGATAATATTTGATAAGTTGGACAATACTAGGCTAGACATGATATTTTTTTTGTAAAATTATTTGGTGTACTTTTAAAAAATATAAAAATTAATTTTTATCATGTTTAAAGCAATTTTATAGAGAAATTTTTATCTCACTAAAAAAGATAGGATAAGCTTGTATAATTTTTTATACAAGGGTTAATATAGTTTGATCTGGGTCAATATCCAATTGAAGGGTTGACTTGAGTAAGGCCTGTGTTACAACTTGAAAGGGTTAACTCATGTTGATTCAAATTTTTTTAAAAAAATTAAGCAATCTCATTTTGAAATATATATATATATATATATATATAAACTGGGTCACGGGTTGACCCTAGTTTGTAACCAGATCATGTCAAATCAATCTTTTCTCTACCTTTTCTTAAACCTGGAACCATAGTTATTAAACTCAGTCTAAGGGTTGACCCGGCCAAGGAACCGGGTCCTAGGTTTTATAGATCAACTTGAAAATTCACTTCTTTTTCTTTCTTTTAAAAGCTATAACACCTAAGATTCACTTTTTTTAAAAAAAAAAAAAAAAACTATTGATAACAGCTTCAACACCTAAAAAAATTAATATTCCCACAACTTTATAATTTACTTTCTCTTTTCAATAAAACATGTTTCCATATTTTCCAGCCAAATAGCTTCAAAAGCTATGGGGAATGCCCTATATATCAATTTAATATATTTTCTAGTCAACTAAAATTTTTGAAGGAAAGACATATAAAAAGCCATAAACTTTTCCTTATCTCTACCAAATAAAACAACAAACCACCGCTCCTTTTAGCTTTAGATTTTTTTTCTCAAAACCAATCAAAGCTTCCCTTTTTGCTTGGCCAAAGCAATAACCATGCACAACAGACTATCAAAAATTGGAAGATAAAAGACATTCTCTTCCTTTCTTTCTTCACTCTCGTTCTAGAAGGCATTCCGTCAAGTAACATGGGATGAAGACCCTAACCACAACTTTCCTCATCCTTTTCTCAGTCATCCCCCTGGTTTTTTGGCCAAAACTAGAGAGCCCCTCCTCTTTCTTTCCCAGCCATCTCCGTCTCTTGGCCAAACTAGAGCCGCCGTCCACTGACACAGGATACCAGCCCGACCAGCCTCTCCTTTGACCAGCCTCCAATGGCAGCGTTCCTCGCTCTCCTTTCCTCTCTGCTACTGCTAACAACAAATCATTGTAGAGAAGATGATGAAATAAGAAGGAAGGCCAAAGGACATAAACCACATTTGACAAGGAAAAAAAAAAACCCCGGGTCTCGTCCAAGTTTGTTCGGGTCACCTAGGTCATGAGTTAACCGAGTTTTGTTAGGTTATTGCACCATCCAGTCTTTTAACAAAACCGAACCGGTCAAGATCCCGGGTTGACCCGCTGGGCCAATCTATGTTTAATAACTATGCCTGAAACGATATAGATCTTGGGTTGCCTAAGTCTTGTTTAATGTCTAGCAAACACAAAAAAAAAAAAAAAAATTGTCTAGTCTGATCCAAAGCACACCAAACATAAGACAAGATAATTATTTGTCTTGTCCTATTCAGTCCAATCAATATTATTCAACATACCAAATACTATCTTAGAGATCCTTCGGTAATAAAGTCAGTGACTTTATATAAGAGACTATAATAAATAAAAGAATTTAATTCTTAAAAACAAGAGTGTTTATTCTTAGTTATATATGATAAATATTATGTAAAATAAGAGTATCAATAAAGAATTGAAAAAGTGTGAGCCCTGTATCTGAGTAATTTGGATGATATATACAATATCTGAACTTTATCATATTACTTGAATGAAGGGGTTTAAGTGTCTTTTTCTTCTAATAACATTAATGAGAGATAAATATCTCTTATACAACATTAAGAAGTGATAGCTATCTCTTACACAAAATTAATGTTGAACGAAATATGATAAGTTATTTGTAGTTAAACTTTCATGTACAAAGGGATGTAGAGAGATAATCATTCTTGATTTTCAACATTTTATATTAAAAAACATGAGAATAAACAAATAAATCTATATAACCCAATAAGGATATAAAAAGATTACTATCTTTATTTTATGTTCAATATTTTATTTACCTTGTCGCATCCATATGCACTTGAGTTCAATATATAACTGAATCCAAAATAATTGAGTTTGATATTTTATCAAATTTATATGTATTTTAATTTAGTATGTAGCTAAATCTAAAAATATTAGACGTGAAAGTAATGTTAAACACATGTCACCTAAACTTGATATTCTATTAAGCCTAGAATATGTTTTGCTTTCTTTTTGCCTTCTCAAGATTGTCGGGCGGGCAACGCTACATTGAGGGGTGGTAACAAGTCTATAAAGCTCACTAAGAGTAACACATATTCCAACTCCTTGTGTATGGCTTGCATCAACAATTCTCAAACTAGAAAATAAAATAAATTTAATATTTTTTTTAAAATTAAATAAATTGTACTATGAATTAAAATAATATAATGATCCTAGTAATAAATAAATAAATTGGTTTTTTAGGTAGAGAGTATATTAGTCATTATCAAATTTATTAGGGACAACTTGGTAATTACACTCAAAAACAAATTTTCTTTAATTGGTGTCAAGGAGATTTTCTGTATTTTATCCTAATTTTATTTTTAATTAAGTTGATTGAAGTGAAAATTTGATATTTTAATAATTATAAAATATTAAAAAAAAAACAAAATTAGTTAATGCATACATTATATACGCTAGCATGCGACTAGTGTTCATGTATTCAAGTGAGGCATGAGATTATATTTTATAGCTAAATAATGGCTTGTAAAGTAGCATTCAAATAGCTCTTCTATTTTTAGATGGTGCATTTGACTTATTTATCTTTGATTTGGTGTTGACGACCTTTGTTTTTTCTTTTTCTTTTTCCCTTGATTTTTATGCTTGACCCTCTAAATTTTCAGAATAATTCTTTAATTTGTTTTTTTTAGATTTAATCTCTATTTTTTAATTATTATTTATTTTATTTAAAATAATTTATAAAATAAGAATTTTTTTTAATTTCATTCTCTATTTTTTTCAACTAACAGATGTGATTTATTTTTTTATTGTTATTTATTTTATTTAATATAATTTTTAAAAAAGCATTTTTTTACAATTTCATCTTAGATTTTTTTCCTCTAAGATTTAATCCTTATTTTTTTAATTGTTATTTTTTTGCTTAATAAATTTTTTAAATTTTATTATTTAACATTAAATTAATTAAAAATTAAATTGATTAATTAAATTTAAATCTAGAATTCCACATGAGTTTTGAGTATTAAATCAGGTTGCAAAGATTAAATAGCTTCATAAATGGCACGAAATGACGGAGACGTCTAGAAGCAAAGCTGAGTTATGCGCTTCTGATTCTGTGGTTTTGGTCATTATATGCTCCTTTTTATTAGTCTCCCTATATGATAATATATTTGCTTTTATTATGGCATCCAGAAGATTAAATAATTCTTCGATAGAGATATAATTGACAATGCAACACAAAAACAATCATTTGAGTTTTTGGGAGGAAAATTAAATTCCCTACAAAACATAATTCTATTAACTTTTGATTGTCTTACAGCACATTAGACAGCAATCCTCATCCATGATTGTCATAGAACCACGTTCAACTTTCCTTTATCAAAATTGCATTTAAGGCAGTTCTTGGTGCTGTCATGCATTTGATCCCAAGCCATATTACAGCTCCCGATAAACTGCAGCGTCAGATCCAACAAGCAGGCGCCTTCAACCACGTGATCTGAATCTGGCATGTTTGTGTTAGCTATGGGAGTGCTTGACCTTCTCCCTTTTCAGGAGAATAGGTTATATTTCTGTCAGCCAATAGTGAGGAAATCCCAGCCACTAATAGTGGTCCATCATTTGTTTTTGCTTGAGCATAAATATCGTAACATGTATTCATTAGACGAACAAGTATCTGCCAAATCCTGATGTATTCTAGTAATTGCTTTCTGCAAGGATTTTAAAGCGGGAAGAAGATTTCTGGAATTTTGTTGAATTGAATTTCCATGAGCTTTGCACAGCTCCTGTCAAAAAATAATCACAAACAATGAATTAGATCTGAATACAGGAAGAGCTCTGAGGGTATAAAATTTCACAAGATGGCAGCAAGCACCTGACACCAGCGGAGTATAAACTCCAAGTGCGGACAGCTTTCCAAAAGATCAGAAAATGCTTCTATTAATCTTTGCAGATATCTGTATGGGACTGAGGAGGCAATAGCTGGTATATCCAATGGACTGACAGAAAAAATGCATTTTTTAATTAGAGAATCCTCGTTCAGGCGAAGGCTGATAATTAAAGCTCT